TTTTTTATATACTAATATATTAATTTTTTTAGTATATACTAATAGAAAGTATTTATAAAAAAACTAATATTAGTATTTAGTATTAAATTAATAGTATAAAATTATGTAATAGAAAAAATTTATATTAGTATAAATTATTAATATAAATGAATGTATTATCTTATAACGTAAAATTTATTGATATTACGTTAGAAGTTAGAATTGATTATATAATAAATTACAAATTACTATTATTATTTTGAGAGAAGTTATAATTCATTATTTTGTAAAATTATTAACATACATCGTAACATATTGCAGGTGCCACTCGAAGATTTTGGAGGAGACGGTGAAGATTACCGATCTTGTTTTACTACAGATGAGCTATTTGACAGTCATGAGGAAGCTATTGAATGGGCAAAAGACATTGCAATGCTATGAAATTTCGAATTGGTCATCTCGAGACACGAAAAAGATGGAATGGTTCGGACGTTGAGGTGTCATCGAGGGGAACGTTACAGAGGCAAGGCAGGAAAACTAGAAAATTTTGTGAATGCTGTTTTGAGACGTTCGAATACTAAATTTACTGGCTGTCCTTTTAAGATAAAAGTCAAATTTGAAGCGAATTCCAAAAAATGGAGTATTTGGCTTCCTTTAGAAGACGAGAAGGGATTTCATAATCATGCTTTGGCTGTGCATCCCGATGGTCATCGACAGATGAGTCGACTCAGCGATTCATCCAAAGAGATTGTCCGTGATATGACTGATGCTCAGGCAAGACCGGGAGTAATTTTGGCTGCAATTTAGGAGAAAAACTATGTGGACAACGCTACTTGCCGACAAGTGTATAACTATAGAGGTCAATTGCAAAAAGACCGTCTGGAGGGTAGAGATGTTGTTGGCCAGCTTCTGCATTTGGCTAGGGGCAGCAACTACATAGTTTACACAGATGTTGACCTAGACACACAAGAGTTGACACGTGTGTTCATGTCGCATCCAGGAGCAGCCAGTCTATTCCGGACATATTACTGGTATGTCGGTATAGATTCCACGTACAAAACCAACAGGTATGTTACATTACGTTATAAATAGTAATATGATGTGAATCTTAAAATAGTATGTTTGAGTAAGTTTTTTGATTCTATGTTTTTTCTTCTTGCTGCTTTCATTTGCACATGTACCACATGCCATTGGTTGAGATGGTTGGAATGACGCCGTGCAACAAGAATTTCTTAATTGCTTATGCAATTATCAAGGACGAGACCGAGTACAGCTATGACTGGGTCCTACACCGGTTGAGACTTCTGATAGGGCCTGATGTACATCCTACAGTCATTGTCAGTGACAGGGAGTTGGGGTTGATTACTCCTATTCAGGGGAATTTTCCGACGACGCCCCACTTACTCTACACGTGGCATATCAACAAGGATGTGGAAGACAGGGTCTATTGATTAACGTCGACAAGCACAAATAAAAATAAGATCTTCGCGCAGAAGTTCACGCACGGCAAGTGGAAGAAGGTTGTCGAGGCGAACACGTGGGACAAATACAAAACTGTCGTAACTGATTTGGCAATTACATACGCGGCGTTTCCTCGTGTGCTGGAATATGTGGATCAGACATGGCTAGTGCACAAGGAGAAGTTTGTCAAAGTGTGGACAGACACTGTCTTACATTTTGGCAACACAACGTCGTGTAGGGTGGAGAGTTCCCACGCTACGTTGAAGCGGTGGTTTAACACGTCGACCGGTTCGCTCGACACGGTTTGGGAGAAGATTGACAAGGAGATTGATTCTCAACTGACTAAAGTCATGTATATTCTTTAATTTATACAATAAGACTGTGTTATTAATGCATTAATTATAAATTTTAATTGGGTCGAATGTTATGTAATGTATTACTAGGGAGACGCTGGAGTCTTCGAGACTTAGGATGAGTACGGGCTACAGGGGATTCCCTTTCGAGCAGTTGACACTGCGGGTCTCGCATTACTGTATGGATATATTGAATGACGAGCTTTAGAACATGCGAGACTTCGGCAAAGATGTTTTGGAGCGCTGCGATTGTGCACTAAAATACACTCATGGACTTCCTTGTGCCTGTGAGCTAAGGGAGGCACACACTGTACGTAGAAATATTACGACCGATGACATCCACAGCTTCTGGAGCACACTAGAGGTGACGCAGTCAGGTATAATTGCGAGATTAATAAATGTATAGAACATCATGCTCAACATTTTTTTTCTCTTAAATTTTGTTTAATTTTTTTTTTTTAACTCCACATATTGTTTCATTTAGAAAAATTTTGATAGAGCATATTGTATAATTCTTTAAATTTTCGGTACGGACAGGTCAGCAGAGTGCATCGGCGAGTGGATGGACTGATCATGATTATTTTCGGAGGCTTGCCGAGGAGGTTGAAGCGGTCGATCCTGCGACTGTACGGTACCTGAACCAGCTCATCGACTCTCAACTTCACCCTGATCAACAGGGATACACAGAACCTGCAGTGAAGGAAAATCCGAGAGGTCGGCCCAAGAAGAAAAATTCAACAAAACGCGATCTATCGAGATGGGAGTACAGTGAAAGAGGCCGTACGGCGGAGCATAAAAGCACTTCTTTATGTGCTCCATTGCAATCGGGGTACACAGAAACAGATCGTTGGCCGGGGCGTAAGAGCACTTCTTCTTGTGCTCCGTCGATGTGGGACTACAGGGAAAGAGGTCGTCCGGTGGGTCGTACAAGCACTTCTTCGTGTGCCCCGACAAGCTCATCGTCTCAAGATCCGACATGTAATTTAATTTTATTTTTTATCTGGACGATGACTAATTAAGTTTGTAAATTCAATTACCTAAATTATGACGTGAAATTATTCTGATATTACAGATACATTCGAAACGGATTTTTTTCAGTACCGACATCGTGGTAGGATTCCCTACGTAGTTCACAGCTACGTGCAGAGTTATCTAGATGTGACGCTGGACGGGAACTGCGGATTTCGGGTGGTTGCGAGTTACATTTATAGGGATCAACAGAAGTGGGATGTGGCAAGAAGAAATATTGCAGATGAGGTTGCAGCCAACATTCATTTGTACGCTCCATTTTATTGGGATGGGGTCGACGTCGCAATCGATCGTATAAGATGGGACGGGGGTCCTTGTGACGAGGAGCATTGGATGAATGCTACGGGCGACCTCTTTGCTATTGCTACACTGTTTAATGCAGTTGTCGTGTTGTTAAGCTATGGTCCCAACGATAACAATATGGGCATGGCCAGTATGACGGTATTTTCGATCCGCGCACCATCCACGGCTACACGACCTGACCGTGAGATCGTCATAGATCATCTTGGTTCCTACACGCACTTCATTCGTGTCAATCTGTGTTCTGATTCTCCATTACCGCCTTTGTGTTATTTTTGGGAGAAATACCGAGATGTTTCGGTTGAAGATTGGCCGTATCAGTACCAGAGCAGGTTCCAGTTGTGGCATGATATTCGTACTGCAACTGGAATTTGATATATTGTGATATTCGACTTATATCTGCGGTTTTTTTTAAAAATTTTATTTTCATGCGTTACGAGTGATAGATTGTGATATCTCGCCGTGTCTACCGTTTCACGTGATATAATGGGAGAATTTTTTGTTTAGATGAAAATAAAATTAATTAACCACAAATAAAAAAAAAAAAAATCGGGTGGTTTATGACAACATCCAAAACAAAATATATAAAAAAAAAGTATTTATTACATCACTACTGCGCTCTGTCGAAATCCAACTTCAACTGAGCCAATTTTTCTGCATAAGTTGCCGCCCTATCAAGAGCAAGTGTAGCGATCTCTTGATGCATATCTGATGAAAGGGACATGGACCGTCCGACCCACTACACAAAGCACAAGGAAAATATATACACATAATTAAAATTAAAAAAAAAAAAAATTGTAATGAACAAATACTAACTAAAATTTAGTAAACACCTTACGTAATCGATGTTGGCGCGCGCAGAAACAGCCTCATTGTCCGCCTGACTGTCGGGCAAGAGTCTAGGATGAGAATAACGCTCATACCATCGCTGGTAGTCCTCATGGGCCGCCCCTAGATCATCTGCGGTGGTGGGAGTAAAATCAGACAAGCGTACAGAATGCAGTAGCGGGAACTGATCCCAGTGATCTACTGCAGCATTTGCTGCATGCTCAACCTTGTACATCCTAGCATTCCAACCACGAAATACATTGATCGGACGATCCATGCGGGGAGGGACTGTCTGGACGTAGCCCAACTGACGCAAGAAACGCATAGGCATGTATGGCTCCACAATATCCCGATATCTAAGGCATCTGGAATAAA